GGAAATGGACCCATTAAAACTTCCCTGGTCGGGAATCAGGTGCCGGAGCTGCGGTTTCCAGCTATGGTTGCTAGCTGAAGACAATAGAGCTAAAACTGGCATCAAGTCCTACTAGAACAATTCTTGTCCTATTGATTTAAAATAGGTCAGGAAGGCAAATTTGTTTTGCAGCAGTGCCAGTCCCAGGCCAAGAATGATGCCCTGCACAAAACAGTCCTGGTCTGTGAGTAGTAGCTCTGAGATACTTTGATAATATAAATAAATACGTACTAAGAACCACAGAAAAGTCTCACTCAAGCAACGTATTTGAAACAAGTTTACAGCTTTTTCTCTGCACAATATGCTTTCCCAAAATATTGGCACTAAAAACTGCTTGACTTCATATCTAAACCCAAACCAGACCTCATTTCTGTTCTTCTGTAAGTCTAGCCCCATGACATTTCAGCAAGAGCTTTCTTTAGTGCGTTTGCTCCAACCTGACTCCAAAAAAAGTATCTGAAAGTACACCAAAATTCACCCGTTTCAAGACTTTTCAGAGAATACCTCTGACGCTGTAACTGCTGAGAGCATTCTGAGGGCATGAACATTCAGACTCAAACTCTGCCAGCACAGAGCGAAGGCTTTTTTTTTTTTTTTATTCTTGCTACATTTTGGATTTAACATTTACCTTCAATGCCAGAAGACATTAGAATACATTTTTTAATAGAGGAATATGCAACTACAAATTCTCTAGATCCGCTAATATTTTAAGGAAGATCCACTGGATCTAATCCTACCAGCTTGCTCCTGGTCTAAACCATCACTGACTTCTCTGGAAGATTTTTTAGATTAAGCTCTACAGCACGAGAAAATCCATGTGCAATAAAATGTAAAAGGCACAAAAGATCTCTTCCTTTTGATATGAACAGAAGGTCTGTGTATTAGTTTGATGTGCCTAATAACTTTAAAAATTGTTTAAAGGCAGAGTTTAAATAAGCAGCCAAGTTTTCAGCAGATGCTCTGGGATGCTTGATGCTCAACACTCCTGAAAAATCTATCTATTCGGATGTGTAAATACACATGTAGGCATCCACTGTATTAATGATCCATTTCTGGAAAAAAAAAAAAGAGCCTAACATTTGCTTATATTAGACTAGAAACTGAAAAAAAACTGTGGTGGAATTTTTGTTTTCTGTTTTTTCCTCCATTCAAGCTGCCCTTTTTCTTAAGATGAAGAGGATTCACTTTCATTCTTTTTTCTACACAGGTACATTTATTATTGAATAAGCACCATCATGTGCTCAGTGTGATTAAAAAAAGAAATGTAGGCCTTGCATTCAGGCAGCTCACAAGAGAAAATAAAAACCCCAAGAGATGTTATGGGGGATAGTACTTGCTTCCACCACCTCTTAAAGGCATAAAAGCATCTTCTTTCCTATTTCTGTAGTGCTCTGTAGTTATGGATGACATTTCTTCAGCACAGGCAAAAGAAGAACACTTTATTAAATTTCTACTACATGATTCTGGAGAAATACTGGTTTAATATGTGTGTGTGTGTTTGTGTGTGTAATACTTGTAATATACATACATTTTTAAAGGGATGTGTTACAACCTTGTGGTTTCAGAAAAACTTGATTAATAGCTCACTTTCCAATATTGGCATAGTAAAGGATTTTTCTAAGTTAGACTTCTGCACTTTTCCAAAAGCTGTGTTTGGAACAACATCACTATTCTATATTAAATTTAAAGATGAAACCAGTGGCGTGCTACCATATGTATCAAATCTGAAGTAGCTGAATGCCCACTTTCAGATGCTTGTAGCTACTGTTACAGAAAATTGAATTCAGCTGCATCCTTGAAATTGCTTTTGAAAATTCTTTACAAACATAGAAAGAGACTTAATCTATCATAATATTCTTCTTATGTTCCAAATACCTATATTGTGAAAACCTCAACACAACAGAAATTATATGAAGAATTCTTATCTGACATATTAAAGACACAACGTTTTAAATTTCATTACTACTTTCTTGACTGTGTGTCACAATTCTGTAAAGATTGGGTTCTCCTGCCGAATTGGGAACATCTTCACTGGGATGAATCTATTGTTTCCCTGCTGAGTTTGGTGGTTTCAGTTTGTTGCCTGCTAAAAAGTAGGAAGTTCTGCTTAAAAAATTGCAACAAACAAAAAAACCTCATACTGCAATCTCTGCAGAAAAGAGCCCTCTGAGCACAAGGAAGGATCACACAGATTTTCCATCCAAGCCAACAAGGGGGCTCTGAAGATGCAAAAAGAAGCAGGTAGCACATTGCAACAAAAGAGGCTGCACCCATTCTTCGATTACCTGAGCTGCACCCCTTAGTTAAATATTTGTCTTCAAATCAAGAGAAAAAAGAACCGAAGGATGTTTTGTACACAGGAGCTTGACAGTCACAGAGTGGTTATGGGGAAAAGTCACAGAAAATCACCATGTAAACACTTCTTCCGCTTCCCAAGTCAAAATTGCTTCTGGTGCAATAAATGAAATCTACTCTATATCTACTGTATATCTACATACTATCTGGTAGCACATATATAGCATTATTTCACTTATCAGTTTACTGGATCAGCCAAGTCACTATCATATGTTGTTGTAACTGATATAATATTTTGGAAGGAAAGAAAAGAAATTTTGCTCCATGTTTTTGCCTTAGGTAAACAACACTGTACATCTGTATACTCTAACACTTATTTTACAAAGCATGTTTAGTGATTCAGAAAAAAAATTAATCCAGATTTGCAGAAGGAGTTCCCTTTATTATTCAAAATATTTGTCAGCTTTAATATTAACCTACCAAAGTTTTTGGAATTGAAGTCTTATAAATGCATAAGACACACATATACACATATACATATGTGGAATACACACGCTGCTCGCTAACAATTTCAGTTAATATATTAACTAGAAATCACTTGTGACTTTCATGATATTTTCTCCCCTGTATGCTAAGTCAATGACCTATTTAAGTATGTTGGCAACAATTTATATGTCTTGTGACTTTATATTTCACAAAGAAATACTGTGTTTTGTGTTATTTACATTAAAAAGACGTACTATGTAAAATTTCACCTTTGTTAAAAATCACTTTATCCTAAGTATTTAAATTATTTCATGCTTTCAAAAGGCACAATTAAGTAACTAATGAGAACTTCCATTCAATGTTACACATAATACAAAAAGAGAAAAAAATGTTTGAGACATCAATGATAATATTTTAAATATATTGGCATAGGAAAGTAGATGTCTTTTTGCTTTATTAAACTGACAGTTAAGTTCTGAACCTTTATTTTGAAAAGATTTAAAAGGATTTGTGTCTTTAGAAATAAAAAATATAACAGGCATATCTAAAAAATATAGAAGAGAAAACCTGATTGTTACTACTAATGAAATAGCTGATGACAAAATACTAGTCTTTTTGATTTTGATCACAAAAAATAAACTGGTAGTGACAGGATATGATGGATAGATTTGACATCCTGGCAAATCACTGTCATTGATTCAATTATTCTAATTCAGAATAAAAGCTGTATACAGTATGTGTTTATGCTACAGTGGAGTTTTTTAAGTGATTGACATTCATCATATTAGTTAGACAGTTTTAAAAGCTATGTCTTTGTTTTACACAGCGTTGTCAAGAAAAAAATAAAGTAGAACCTGGTCTGCAGGAAAAAAAAGCAAACCACTTAACCAACTCTTGGTTCCAAACCCATCAAAATAAGTTACCATTATTGCATCCTATTAACATGTTCTTTGAAGAGTCAATTTCACTCCAGCCATGTAATACACTATTATAAAGACTAAATTTTGAAATTGTAATGCAATCTTACAGCTGGGTGGCTTGGAAGTTCTGCGGAGAAGAAGATATTACCTTTCAAAATGGAAGTCAGCCTCAGAAGAAAGAATGCAAACCACTTTAATTTACAGGTCAGCTTTGCTTTACCGTTCTTTTGTTTGATGAGATATACAGAGATACATACAAAATAGTTACAAGTTCACAAATTGTGTATCTGAGGGTACAGAAGCCTGAATTACTTGTATATTCTGCCCTGCTTTAGACCAGCATGCTGTGATACCCTTCCCCGAGCTCAAATGCACTCTTCTGGTTTTCCAGCATTAATGTAGCTGTCGGTTTGAATTTCAATCTTGAATTATGTCTGTTGACATAATTTCATAGTGCTGACTTCAATTGTTTAGGATTACTGTTTTGAACTACATAAGGAAATCAATTCTTTTCTCTCTGGTTAGTAAATTCCGTTCAAGTGCATTTTAATGCATGTAGTAAGCCATAAGGCAAAGTAATTATCTGTAATATATTCTGATTCAAAAAACAACCATACTTAATTACTGGCATATTAGAGTAAAAACGATCTTACACATTTAAAATTTATTATTACATATTTAGTAAATAATAATAAATAAATTTAATAAACTAATATAAAGATTTCCTGAAATTTAAGAATGGTATTTCAATTACAAAAATTAATGGTTTTAAAACCAGAAGTGAGTAGTTTGCTTTCAGAATAACACGTGACAATTAATGCTTAGTTTCATTCCTTTATTTCAATAAACCGTCCAACTTAACTTATTATTCATACAAAATATCAAATGTAAGTATATAAAAATTCCACGGGGAAAAATATCCCTTTATTTTTATTGTAAAAAACCATCTGGAAATGAAAGGGTGAGAGTAATTTTCATATTTTAAGGAAAGGAACAAAATACTGTACGTTTCCAGTCGAGCAGAACAATGGCAGGACCCAACATAACAGAAGCTTTAACAAAAAGCAAAATCCAAACAGCCCAAAATTAGTACAAAGAAACCAGGACAAAAAAAAAAAAAAAAAAAAGAAGGCACCATATGATAACATGTATTTTTAAAGACTGCTGGGTCAAATCATTAAGAAAAATATTTATATAAGTCATTAACACTCATAATTAGAGTGTCATATAAATCTGAGTGAAACTGCTAAGCAGAAATCACTAGAAGTCCAGGTGCTTCTTGCCGATGGCCATAGCACCACATCCTGAGCTCAGCAGTTTGGCGGATTCTGCCAGATCCTGTTTGCTTGTGCGGCTCACTGTGTCTGACAAGTCTGGAGGCAAATGCAGTCGCTGTGGCAGGAGATTTTCAGGAGGGAGAGGGCGAGAGAGACGGGGAGAGAGAGAAGAAAGAGAGAGAGGAAAAAAAAGAATAATTGCAGTAGAATTTATTTTCCATAGCATATTTCAAAATGCAGTCTTTTTCCCAACTGATCAATGTTTACTCACACAAATAAAACACTTCCCAGACACTCTTTTAGGCTGACCTGAAAACAGCTTTACATGTTTTCAATACATTGGATTCTGTCAATTTGAATAGATTTTTTCCTCATGAAAATTTTCTAAACAAAATCTGAATTTGCTCAAGGTATTTAATTATATCTATGGGCATTTTTCCTTTAAAAACAAATGTTTTGCCTGTATGTCAACCCCTACATCAAATCCTTTGATTTCTATGGCATTACAATATAAGTATAGTTTTATTTCAAACACGCATACTTTGTGGCAGAGTCTGAAAATAAATGATGTGATGGTCAAAAGATGGAGAAGCCTCACGCTGGTTCTAGCGTTATTCTGCTAAATGTTTCTTCTTCATATTCTACCGATAGTTGTTAATAAAAACAAGCAGTGACAGTAGTTGCATTTGTATAAGGCAATCATATATGCTAACCAAACCTTGCCATCCCTTGTGAGTTGTAGGAACATTACATCCAGTTCACAGATGAGGAAACTGAGACACAGCCTACATGGTTGTCCACAAGCACACAGTCCTTGCGTAATAAACCTTATTTTTCAACTACGACAAAAATATTTCAACTCTCCCTCTGAGGATCTTTTACACTGGAGGTATATAAAAGACATGACATTACCATTTAGCTTCTGTAAAGTAAGGTGAAAATTAATGTAAAACGGAGGCTTTACTTGGTTAATTGCTGGTTGACTTTTGGACACAGTGAGGTACTGAAAGCCGGTCAGATGAAACAGTTGAGCATCTCCTACACAGTGCAATAATTTATGAAACCTGGTATCGTGGAAGGAGCATATTTCTTGAAAGATTTAGTAGGCAAAGGCTAAACCATGTGGCTCTTCTTTGAAAATGCACACGCTTCTGAAGGGAACAGGGTTAACAGTAATGGCTGAAAAACTGTTATTAGGAGGCCGTGTGGACTATCCTTATTTTCTGCTTCTGCTATGTTTTTGCTTTTATCACAACACGTAAATACAGCTGCCTTTTATTCAATATTATTGCAACTTTTATAGGATAAGATAAGAGTTCTATTAATAAGCATAAGAAATATCTGTATTTACAGTGGGCTGACTGTTCACTTAATTGCTGGCTTTGAGATTGTGCAATTAGGTGTAACTTGAGAGGGGCTCCAAAGTGCTTCCTACCACTGGCCGCTCCTGGCTGTGGGCAGCGCAGGGAGAAGAACGTGTGCTGGGTTGTCATCTTCTCCAAGGGAAGGAAATGCATAAAGTAATAATGCACGTGGAGCAGGAAAGCCTGCACCCTGGGTGAGATGACGCACCTCAGTGTTGAAATAGGAGAAATGTGCGTATTTACTTGTAGCACGTTGCCTGTGAAGCGCAATTTATGCATCAAAACCCACCCCCCATATATACTATTTAGTAACTATGCAGCTCTTGCATTTCACCGTATTAAGAGCAGCGCTGTGGTCTGGTATCCTTCGCTTACAGTTCTTCCCTTACTCCTAAGAAGGTTAAGCACGGCTCTGGAGGTGAACTGTGGTCCATGATGCCTCATTTCTACATTGACACACTACCACCTCGGGCACGTGCCTATCTTGTTTGTCTGCTGAGAAAAACGTTTGCCAGGAAAGAGCCAATGTACAACTTGGATTGTACGAGGGGGGCTGTAACCAGTGGAAAACGAAGGATGAGGAAAAGCCGGGAAGTGCAGGGGAGCACTTGGCAGATCTTTCAGTCACATTTTCTTTCCAAAAAAGTGTACAGTACTGTTGGCAGGGTACACGGTATCTGGTATGTGGGAGGCGGAGACACAAGTGAACTAATCCAACCATTTCCCACTCACTGTCAGCATCTCTCTGCCCTCACCGGGGAGGGGGAGAAGTGGCTTCGTCTAGGGGAGATGTAGTACCCCTGTCTTCTTCCTGCAACTACCGACTCTTTTGCCAAGTCTGCCAATGGATTCAGAGCAAGGTGATGAAGAGCAAACCGAACTGAGACTCAGCAAACTCATCTTGCACAGGGAGTAACTACTATCACAGATAGGGAACAACTGTAAACCCTTCCACACCTGCCTGGACTTGAAGTGTGGTCAAAAGAAAAAACAACTTCGATATTTACACAGCCTTTTAGTCAATGCTGCGTTCATTCTCTAATATATATTATAAACAGAAAATGGATAGGAGAATATTCATAAATTTGCAAAGACTCACACAGGAAAAGTAAAAATTAAAGAACCTCAGATTGGATGGTAGGACTGAATCAGGCTTTTACAGATGTATTTGTTATGATCCAGTGTTTCATTATACACACATATACTCTTCTTCCCCCATCTTATTCAGTGAAGAGGATGCACACTGCTCATTTAGTGACTGGCTATTCAGTATTTTGTTTTCTTGTAACTGTTTACTCTGAACTTTTCTGACGTATTTATTATATACTATTCAAACCTTGTTCTGAAGACAGAATGGCTTTTCAATAGCACATGTCAGTATATAGCACTTGAACACTTCACAAACACCAGCTGTGTTATTTTCCTAATATTCTTGTGAGATAAGGCAGCAAAGTTACCTCCATTTTAGGCATAGAGAATTGAGGCACATAAAACACATGGCAAAAGGTATCTACTGATTTCAGAAACACAATCTGAGGCATTTAGAACTTGCTTTTCCAGAATGCTTAGCATCATACAGCATTTCACATGATCAAATGCTAACTTCATTTGCAGCTGTGAGTGTTTAGTATTTCTCCAAGAACCCCAAGTTGGGCACTCAGAAAGCGAGAGACATAAAAATGCTGGGTTGAAGCAATATGATCACATGGAAGCTCAGTGATATAGGCAGAGACACATCATACCTTCCATGATATCCTTCAACTGTCTTAATTATGAGACCATCCCTCCTGCAATCCTTGCCCTCTCTACAATCCCAACTTTCAAACATTACAACAAATCACATATTTCCAGGAAAGCATATTTCACTGCGTATGCCACGTTGATCCTCAGATCAGACGTATTCTGAACAATAAGCAACACTAGAGTCCTCTGAAAAAAACCTGAATGTTATCCTGCCATTAAGACCTGAATCATAGCACACACACATGCTACCTCTGAATAAAGTCTGAATAGGCATTTCAAAATATCATTCCTTATATTTTCTGCATGCAGCTTGAAAATATAAACAGGGCTGCAATATTAATCCTATTAAATATTTTAACACCATCAAAAAATACTCTAAATTTTAAACCACAAACAAACTGCAAATTCATTGTACGGCATTATACAGACATCCACAGGTTAAACAGGCCTTTATTTTTGGCACCAATAGGGACATTGCAGTCACTTAAACTAAGGCAGTAAGTGATAGCATGAATAGGCTGTGATCCTTTTTGAACACCAGCATTACAGAACGATCAGACATTTTCACAGATATTTGCTGACCACAGAGAAACAATTGCATTTAAAGTCCCAGTTTAGGACAAAATGTTTTCTGCTGGACAGACTTCTCTGCTATTTCTGAGGCTGTGACCTCCATCCCTTTCAATCTCTTTTTCTCTTATCAGTCTGATAAGAATCAGGCTGATTTTGCTCACATCGGCAATCCCAGTCCTCGTTGCCCAGGCCTCCCATCCTGCAACTGGTCTTCATGACAAAAACGCCTCTTCTCCGGTTATCGGCGCTCCCCACCCTCTGCCGAAGTCAGTCTCAGCTTTCTGCTTCCGAGCTCTTCATTCCCGCTCCTGCCAGTTCTGGGCTTCTCTTGCCCATTTCTGCCCATATTCCATCCCCTGCTCCACTTCCTAATGCCTAGGTCCAAATTCAGCACCAGGCCACCCTTCCTTGCCTCAGCCCCTTCTCTCCCTCATCCCCTGTTTTGTCCTCCTCCTCTTCCCACCTGTAGTTCTGGAGCTGCCCTTCTTTCTCCTGCTGGCGCCGCTTTCCATCCCCCGTCGTGCCCCTGCCCCTCTCCTCTGCCCCGGTGTCCCCTGCCCGCCCAGCGGCTCACCTCCTGCTCCGAAAAGCAGGTACAGCCCTGGAAAAGGGTCGAGCTGAATACGCAGTACCAAGTGTGCCTGGGCCAAAGAGGTGGATTTTCACAGGACAGCCAAAACACATCCCTGGCATAAACGGTAGACATAAAATTGCGTACTTTCATTCGTTCTTTTAAATAATTGAAGATTTTCACTAAAATATTCCAGCGTGTGGGTAAACATAAAACTTCCCGTAGCCTACAGCAAGCTGGTAGGGCACCAATATTTTAAGGCAAAACGGTCATAGTCTGGCAAAAGTAAATATGCAAGTGAAAATAGGATCCTATAATCACCTTCCTTGTGATAATTTCTTCAAGCATGTACCAAAGAAAGGTAAAGTTTGTCAGTGTAAAAACTAGGGAATGCTGGAGTAAACTTCCTTTGTGCAAAGTTAATTGTGTATCTGCATTATTATAGTGTGTTTAATTACATGATCTCACATTATTTTCACCCATGGAGGCTGTCAGAAAGGTTTAAACATAGGATCTTCGGAATCAGACTCTAAGCTTCATTCACTTGATTTAAGAAATAACTGGCTATGGAAGAAGGCTGTTAGCGCACAAGGCACAGCCAGGGAAGGGGCACGGTGTGAGTGCTGGTGCTTCCCCCCTGCTCTGTTTCGGGCAGGTCCTGAAGGCTTTGCGGTGATAGGAACAATTACACTGAACCCAGCTAAGCACACAGCTTTAGGGCATGCATTACGAAAGGAAAACAGTTCAGACAAAACTTATTACATACTTTGCCTCTGCTCCTCCCTCTGCCTGAAGAAAACTTCTAATTACTTCATTTGTTCTCGACGGGGGCGGGGGGTGGGGGGCGAGTAGAGGTGGAAGATA